TAGTTACACAACCTCATTTTGTCATTATTTACAAAGTATGGATCGATATTACAATTTTTGTCATTATACTATCATGGTCATTCACTATTCGAACTCTCTTGTTAAATATATATATCCTATCAGTTTAAAAGTAACATGTTTACAAGTGCAAACTATCAGTAGCAATAATCATAATACTAACTAATCTAACTAGACTAAAGAGTTATAAATATGATATTTTGTCATTTCGTTAAAACTATTGCAAATTAGTTCGGAACAACATATTACCTATACGTGTATACACAGTAATAATAATATTATTATGAATAATAATAATAATAAACTAAACTTTCTTAAATACATGGAAAAATTTACGTTTATATGAAGGATTCCATGACTCAGATGATTAATTCAATCATTAACTAAAAGAAGTAAATTGTTCATTAATAATTATTTAATTTAAAATAGTTTTGATTAATAACTGTTTAGTTTATATGTATAGGGAAGATTCACATTTACACATTAGACTCTATTTATAACAAAAATGAGAATCACTTTTAACCAATATTTCACCGAAAAAAATATTTAGAATGAAAACTGAAGTTCTTAACACAAAAAATAAAACGAATAATATATTGGATTATCAACAAAGAAGTTAATAGGTCAGTATGATCTGTTATGCTTAGAAGTAGTGGACATTTTTAAAAATTAACATTAACACACACAGAAACAATCATGAGAAGTTTTCTGTACTCAAATACAAATACAAGCACGTATTGTGTAATATCTACGTTTTAGATGTAATTTCAGCTATTTCATTAGACTAATGTCTTTGTTTGACTACATACTATTACAATAAAAGCTATACAAATATTGTCAGCAAATGTAATGGATTTTGTAAAAGAACAGTCAAAATGAAAATGCTTTTGTTTTGTCATGCATCAGCTAACCTCACTGTATTGTTTTGATAGTCTCAATGTATGTTGAGTCCACAAGTCATCTGGAAATGATGTGATTTTGCTTCTAATACGTTGAGCATCTGCACTGTATCTTATCTAGAATGAATACATATATATTTGTTTTTAGGTCAGAAAATGTTGTAAATTTTATTAAACGCGTAGACATGAAGAGTCATCGAATATGTGTTCATTTACTTTAAAAAATTAATTGATTTTAAGAATGGTTTATATGACTCCGTAGTCTTCAGTAACCATTACAGTGTACTGAAAAATGGATCATGACAGAACTAATAGGTAATCCAATCACTTACTAGTATACATTTGTATTCATTAAAAATAAATTGTACAGTCTAGGTGTCGTACTCCCTAGGACTAATTAACACAAAATATCTTCAGAAGTCTGAAAATAAACCTATACTTTCTCTGAGTTTCGACCGTATTTAGTTTATTTCCACAAATACGCCATACTATCTAGATGTAACTGTTTATTGGGTGATCCAGTCAGTAATTAAACCTAGTTTACTTATCCCTCTTGCTTCTAATAGCCAAAAACTTTAAATAATAGATAAAGATAGACCGACAGAAAGATAACTTTTTATGCGAAAAGTAAAATCTTGTTTTATTACTCTATCCAAGACATTTTGTTTAACAATAAACCGTTCTATATATTATATTGGGCTGTAGTAAGAATATAGCCTTCTTATACTCATTAAGCTTATAAAAGTGAAAGGGACTTGATGCAAATCTTTCTAGTATATAACTATAAATACAACATATAATTTGTGATTTTTTTCTTATCGCTCCAAAAAATACATCACCGAATTGTGTACATAGTCGGGTAACTGACTGACTGACTAACTAACTACTTTAATCTCAATATATACTTTCATTGTCTTTTGATAGATAGATTCTTATCCGAGTTTTGTTCATTTTGCCTGAACATGGGTTATATTGTGTTGATGACTTCTTGACGAAGAGTATTTTTTAAATAAAATAATTATAATTATAAATGAGACTGATCAAAACAATCATTTGAAGATAGTCCTAAATTTACTTTCAGATTCTCTTATACATTAGTAAGAAACGGGACAAAATACTTTGTCTTATTAGGAAAATACTTTTCTGTATTTCCCTATGCCATTCAGTTGAATAGCTTTCATAACTCGGAATTCATTAAAATATTTTTTGTACTTTTAATTAAATATTTCACTCAGTGAAGGAAATACATTTAAATGACCAGTCAAGCATAACTGAAAAATAAAAACTTTTATAGTGACAAAATAAATCCGTCCACCAGTACACTTTCTTATCAACAATCTTGTGCTTTCAAACAATCAATCAAGTGAATGGTGATCTCATAAACGTGTTTATTACAACCTACGAACAAATAACATGAACCAAACTAACATGGAATGTATTCAGCCGGTTTTTTAATAAAATATTAGGCTTTGAAGTATATGGAATTTGTTGTAAATATGCTTTAGAATTATTCAAATCATGGCGAAATAATACCTATGTTAAGATATTTTAGACAACGGTCAGAGAATTTCAATGACCAACAACAAATATAAGACATGTGTGTGCATTAATTCTTTATAACTTGAAAGTGTGTCTTTCTATGGTTTGTATAATTTCCTGTTTGAACACAAAATAAGCAATCAACTTGCAGAACAATTTGCTGAAGATTATTTGTTTCATTTTCAGATTTCAATTATCTCAGTCTCAATGGGAATTCTTGAATTTCGGGTTAAACAAATTTCAGTTCAATAAAAAATGTACATTCTATGGTAGATAGCATATGACTTAGTTAAATGAAAGAAGATCCTATTGTGTAATAAGGTGGGATATCATGATAAACCCTCATTAGTATAAACTTTTATCATATTTATTTTGTTGTTGAACTGTTGGGTAACATAGATATAAACCTACTAGGAGACGTCAAAGAAGGTCGACCTTGGGTGACAAGAGGCAGTCTGCAGGAAACCACGAACTCTGTTTTCTTGTTAAAGAGCATCTGTCTGCAAGTTCGTCTTTAATCTTTAGAAAATCAGTGCTTCTCATGATACTCAGAGCTGCTTCACTCAGCTTTATAGTCTTAGACGTTATTACTGAAAATCGGTCAAATATAAAGAACAGCTTTATTCACCTACGCTTGACTGTCAATCAGGTTTTAGATTTGAATCCAGTTTGACATACTTTGGCGTGGTTTCGTTGAATCTCAAACAAAGATTGTATCTATGTTAAGGACTGTCAGATATTGACAGATATTCAAGAGGTCATGAAGACCAGCTATTTTCAGACCTTGACCGTCATAACTAGAAATGATGCTCTAAATCCTCATCATCATTTTGTCATTTTCATATATGTCATTACTGCCATTATTGCTCGCTGGAAACTGTAAGTAAATACAATTTAGTTGTGACTGAATATCTTTTGCTTTGCTCTAACTAATACAGCTGTTTCGTAAGTCATTATTATAAACTATATAATAACCGATCATAATGTTAGGACAGTAATAGAATCAACAAACAATTAAGTAATAATTCTATAATTTCCGTGAAGTAATAGAAGTTGATTTTTATTGATTAAATATAGTCATAAACGTAGTTATATATTGTGTATGTTAAACATATTTTGTTAAAGCATTCTACAGAAACTTTATTTGTTAGGCGTCTCTAATAAAAGTGAAATTCAAAGTTGGCATTATCTACTTTATATCTATCAAGAGTCAAATTATTATGAGCACGAATGAAAAGTGGCTAGCAGCGAAATCCACGATGCGTTTCGTCCTGGTTGTGACTTGTCAGAGGGATATACCTCTATTCGGGAGTTGATGTTCACTCCGAGACTCGAACACAGTATTGTTCACTTTGAACGCGACAGATGATACTGAATTTGGGTTCCGGAGTCAATAAATCTGAAATGAAACTTCAACCGATTGACATGTCCCGAATAGGACTAAACGCACGTCCTGAATTTCAACGCTTTCCACCAACCACTTTCCTTTGATTGCTTATGAATTCATAGCAATATCGAGGCGATCCGCTCAGGATGCATACATTTGCAAAAGAGACGGGCCAACTGGAGTCCTAAACATCAATAGGAAGACTTGAATAACTAATACGAATAAGTCTATTTTTTCTGTAAACTTCCTGTAATGAAATAATGTTCATATACTTAGGAATAAATGTTCACTCTGATGATTGGTGTTATTTCCTGTTGTATTTCATTCTACGAAACGTTTAGAAGGAAAGATTTTAAATTATCTATACGTCTATCATATTTGTAATTTGGATGAGAAATAATCCAAAAATCTTTACGTTAGTGAGAATAAATTTCCGTAAATCAGGAGACTTCATCATTAGGTTCTTAAATTACAAAAATTCAAAATGAAATTTCATTTACCGAATAAATGTACATCAATTTGATTTACATATGTATTTTCATCCATCACAAACTTCTGTTTATCTCAACAATTATTTTCACTTAGTAAAAGTAATTTATGATAGTCAGTCTGGCTTGAATAAGGTAGTTGTAATAGGTGTTAATTTACTCAAGTTACCAGCTAAGTATTGGTCATCCTAAAACTTATTGATTGGAATTGAGTGTATATGTTTCTTTTTCTATGTATAAGTTTGAGATGCATAAATGTATTTAATATACTTTTGTGCATGGAGTATGATAATATCATGTCATTTTGATTTATCCTTTTTCATCACATTTAGATACTTACTATAAAAAACAATAATATTATTCATTTGGTCAAACCATCCTTTCAGACGCTAACAGATTTCTAGTATCTATGTATTTGAATAGTAAAAAGCTTTGAATGAAATTTCAAATGAATCAAGGGTAGATACCTATTTAATCACTTATTATTTATTAGTATATTTTAAATGTTTGTTCGAAATTCCAGGTCACTTTTGATAAAAAGAGACTATTTCTAGTCCTTAGTCCGTGGTTAAAATTATGTCTAGCTTGATCAATAAAAATGTCACGCATTAAAGAATGGTCATCAAAGTGATCTAAAGAAGACAACTAGGATTAAAGAAAAACACTTACACTGCTAAACATTCTTGTATTATTAGCTACTCTCAATAGTTCTGGTGTATCCGGAATGAATGTAAATGAGGTTGGCTTTGGAGTATGTCTACACAAAAATGAAAAGTAAATTGTAGGCAACATATTAGAAAAATAAATTTCCAGAAATATAAGTAAAGCTTTTTGACCTAAATGAACGATTAATTTATGAATACTATTTTCATTTGGAAATAGTTCTTGTCACGAAGTAGGATCTACCATTATATCACTAAAAACCACCGACCGATGAATGGATTTTCTGACCTACTTCGGATGTCAAGAGTAGTGTCCGCTAACTGGTTCACCTGAGGTTGAATCCGAAACACAACCATGTAGAATTTAAACCATCGACGTTTAGACCAGCAATTCACAATTCTGACACCAGCCTGTATCAGCATTTCGTAATGTGAACGATCAAATTTGAACTAACGCTAATGTGACTACAAAAAGATCTGAACATCCTGAGTTTTGCATTTGTATAGGGTTCTTGGTGAGTTTATTGGACTGTAAGAAGTTCGTCATTTAGTTTTCCACGGTTTTAGAAATTATCCCAGGTAGTGGCAGTTTGGGAAGAAAATTATCTTTGTAGACTCATTCAAACTTTGCTCACTTGTAAGAAACCGCAGTGTATATGTTTGACTTAGTTGCAGTATATAAGGTGGATATTATCTGGGCGCAAAACTGCTCAGGATCCCTTATAATCATCAATAATTTCTGTGACTTATTAGGACCAAACTTGCAAAAAAAATTGTTGAACGTTTGAAGTCTGTAAATACTAAAGTTATAAAGATAGTCATTGTTGTGATTTGCATTAATCTATCAAAAATTATTAACAATTGTAAGATTCAAATGAACTTACGCTGCACAATATGGCTTCTTATCATACCCACCATGATAGTTACATATGCTTAAGGCCATCCCACAGTGCTGACAACGGAAGCATCTTCTATGCCATACCTATAACGGTTGTGTGCACATAGGAAAGAGGGGAAAAATCATAAAGCAACAAAAAAATATGTCATGTATCATACACAGCGTATTCCATGGAGTTCAAATATGATTTCGCAAATTTAACTATCTTATTTATGTTAGAGATTTAAAAGTTTGAATTTTTAATAATCATTTTGAAAGGTAAGTTTGAATTGTTGAGAATGTATGTAAAAATGCATATATATAATTCATTTTGTTCATCATGCAAGAGATATTTATCAAACCTTGTGATCGTTCCTTTCCACCACAGCTAGCAATACTAACATCTGATGTGAAAATCAGTGATTTAGTATTTGTTTATTATTGTACTCATTTAAAATAAAGATCGTTAAAAAGAACTGGTTTACTAAACTATCAATTCGGAAGCATAGTAGATCTACTCATGTTAATTAATTAAGCACTTTGTCGGCTTTCAGCCTAAACCAAATAAAATAATTAATTGTATGCACCACTAAACCTTTTTACTGTTCAAACAACAGGGAAAGTTATGTCAGAACAAGCTTTAAAGAAATAAAATGCGGTGTAGTTATTCATTGATTATCGTTTTCTAAACACACAATATTTTATTACCTAGTTGTTGAATAACATCTTACATGGTTTAACAAATAGAATAAATATTACCATATGAGTAATATATGTTGATTTGTTGCTACTATACATGTGCAATATTTAGTACTAACCCTTGATGAAGAACATTAAACTCAACTTTCTAGTAGTTTTTGTGTAGTGATGTGTTAATTTAAACTGTGTAAAAGACCAACGTGCCCATAACTTAAGCATTCATACTAAGGAGTTGGAGCAAATGACTAGTAACTTGGGTTACTAACATTCACAATAAACTATCCTCCTCAAATAATTCCTAGGAAATATACCCAATAAACTACTAGCGAACATAAGCAACCAAAGTTTGTATTAATCCTGACAATAAATGCGGTAAACAATCGGTAATCTTGGTTTTCACCTGTTTTTATTTTAAGAACAGAATTTTTAATCCGCAGCGCTCAAAATGCTGAAATCGGCGTTAAAAAGTTGAGAGCTGAAGGTTTCAAGTGGCTGGCTTAGCAATATTTTAATCAAAATAATTCACTGAACTTTACCTGCACACTAATCAAGAAACGAAAAGTAAGATAAATCATAGAATAATTCAATTTTTTATTTTAAATGTCATCAAAATTATATTTTGAGTAGCGTTCAGAGTTTATTATGTTGCGAAATTGTCCAAACGGACTTATTCTGACTTTAGAACAGATTATGGTGAAGCGATGAACCCATTTTACCTTAGTATTTGAATGTAGGTTCGTGATTTACTGTTGAATATGTAAAAACTTTAACTTTTAAATGTACTTCGCATCCATTTATAAGATAAAAGAACAATAGGCGTATGTGATTCAAATAACTTTCTACAACTAGGCGCAGTTTTGTCTGTTCTTGCAGCTTTTTAACCGAATCCTTGATTTTATTTGATCGGACGAAACTGTTTTCAGAGCCTATATTATGGCGTATATTAGTCACGTAACATTTAACCAAAATGAACGAAAATTAATCCCCGACACATAAAAATGTGCATTACGTGAGCACAGTAGAGTTGTAGTGAATCAACTGACAAATTATTAGCTGAAATAGTCATGGACAACCGTGTAACCAATGAGGAAATCTTTTGATCTCTTTAGTTTGTAATGGGAATGTTTGGTCTGCCTAGGCAGTGAACAACTTACTAAGTTTATTTGCTCAAGCTAAAGGCCAACTGTCTCAAAAACATCCCATTCTGTTTAGCTCCCCCTATGTTCTGTATAATATAAATAAAACAGGAATCCTATGCCTACGACACTGACTACATTATAAAACCAATGATTATTAAAGATATTAGTCTATATATTCTCAAAATTTTCAATGAATGTAACTAGGTTTAAAATACTTGCTGGTCAGTCTACTGACTGAAACGTTTTTACGGCTTCTTTAAATCCACAAATTCGTTACGTACGATAAAAAATCCATCGTTAGAATACTCAATACTTGTATATTTCATACGTTATAGGAGTGAATTATTTCAGAAGGGTTCAAAAATATTTTCCTACTATATCTTGATTTCTACTGTCTAATTCCGTTCAGAGAGTTGATTGTAACATATTATGAAATAGCTTGGTGCAAACATAGTCTTAACCACTGTAAGATTCTTTATTATCCACTTACTCCAGATGACTATCTAATACATAAATAATGTTTTCTGCAGATATGCTTATGTTTTGAGAAAATTACATCAAAAAAACGTCTCTTTGAACGACTAAAGTTGGAAGAACTATGCTTGCACACGTACACGGCTTCACCATTGAGAGTGCCAATAAAAATTATTATACATGAAAACGCCAAGCAAATGAAATCTAGGGATTAATTATCTTCGAGATACAAAGTCGAGCATAAGTTTTATCCCGGTTAATGAGCAGATGTAGTTGCAACAGTCATATGAGATCATCAGATTGATAAGTCTTTATTTGTCCATAGCCACTGTCTCATTATTTCTAGGACACTCAAAAAATTTCAGTTCACCTTGATTTCAGTTTGTAAAAAGGATTTTATCGCGATTAATGTGACACAAACAAGGGTTACTCTCATCATATAAAAGTTTCAAAGCCTGTTTTTAAGTCTTGTATAATTTAATCCATTGAAATTATGTTTTTCGAAGTCCCAAATATTCACAAATCAGCTTCTTCATACAAAAAATACAGTGAATCTAGGATTCCACGAAAACGTATGTTTTGTTGAGTCCCATACATTTTTAGGTTTACGAAATAAAAACAATTGACTGTGTTTATTTACTTGATGATTGATACTAATGTTTGAAATTCAAAATGTCCGTATAAGAAAGTTTTAGGTAAATCTGACATTTTAGATCTCTTGAAAACACAAATCACGTTTATCATAACCTTTTAAATAGTTTATCTACTCTCTTGGTTTATTGTTCCTACGGCTTTGTGTAACATTAATAGGAATTAATGAAAGACGTTGGGATTAACACTAGCTAAATTCTTAGTGTAATGAATACAGAATCTTTCACTCCGTCACATCAGATAGTAAAGTTTCTTAAAGACTTTGAGAGCTAAAATCTGATTACGCTGCCTGCTGATTCAAAATAAAGCATTACATTTAAATGATTTTACTCAGGAGAGATTCATATTTACGATCCAGACATATGTATTACATAAGTTCTCTCGGTTTATTTATACCCACATATATGTTTTAAAAACATGGCAAAAAACAATAATGAAACTGAAAACAATCCACAAAAAACAACCAAAATGACTTTTTAAGACAACCTGAAGACGTTTCACTAACCTGATCAAAACATCTTATCAATTCCAGAGGATAAACGACTTCGCAGCAAGAAGCACAAACTTTATTTGTGTTCATCATGAATTAGGAGACTGGCTTATATGTTTTAATCAAAACTTTATTTATTGAAAATAATGATTTTCAAGATCTCCGAACTAAGAATGCGCGTTTTTATGTGCTCAATTCAGAAAAGTATACAATATGCATAAGACTAATTTAGTGAAACAGTCAAACATACGATTCAATAATCAATAGATTAGTCACAACCTAGTGTAAACTGAGTTATATCTTTGGTTATTTTTATTTGTAGCGTGGAACAGTTCTATAATTTTCATATCGTTCTGTACAGGTATTCGAAATACATAGTCAAGAAGAGATTGTTTCTCATGGATTTGGACTGAACTTCAGTACATATTTTAGGGGCTAACAATGATTTTTCATAGCAAAACAAATAGTTATGGATCCGTTTTGAAATGTCCTATAATTTCAGTGGTGTAGATATTGTGCATTAGTATATTCAAAAAAGTCATTAAACTAACCGATTAGATATCTGTATTGCTCTAAACAAATATCTAGCAGTCAGGTCACAGAATGTTGGACAGTTCACAGATCATCTTCAAGGCCAAGGCCAACCAACGTTCCACAGCTGGTTGTACGCTACGAATAAGCTTGTGCGTGAGTGGTCGCACTCTGTTTTTTGTACCTGCTTTTATTAATATATTTCTTTATCAACATCCTTTGTGCTGGACGGTCATGAAAGTAGCCATAGAACTTGGATGTGACGAAGGGTGGTCCACGTTATATATCAAGTGTAATGTGTGACATCGACGTTGACTGGTTAGTCGCACCATTTCTGTATAACTTGAGTAGGCCCCCAGATTGTTCCACACGGATATGTTCCACTCAACGGACTTTCAAATGTTCGTTGGAAACCAACAGAGAAAGGCTATGTTTCTTGCCTCTTGTTGCTGGTGAAGAACCTGGAAAAGTTTGGAAAAACTTTTTGCTTTCGATTTGAACAGGAAATGAAGTTAACTCGCGTACATAAATAGTTGATGAGTAAATGGTACGTAGAATCGTGGATAGGTATTGATCATATAAGATACCATACAACATGAACTATGAGGTAAAATAAAGAATGCGGCTTTTAAGAAGAATTCGCAACTTCAAAACATCATAAAGTTTACGATCCAGAGTCAAAGTGTGTCGAAATTAATTTACTGACCTTGGTAGAATATCTTTAGTGTATGAGAAATTATTTTAGGTTTGTTAATGGAAAAGCAAGTGTAGTTAATTCCGAAAAACTTTAATTGTTACGTCAGACGGTTTACACGGTCAATTCACTGAATACTTAATATCTGTCTGCTCGCTGAAATTTAAACATTTCAACCACTATGTAATATTATGAGTGAGTCTGATTGAAAGCAGTCACACACACTCGTTTTCTTGTGTGCTTGCAAAAACCAGAAAACGAATCATTCTTCTACAATGTCTGGTTCATGATCTCCAACATTCTTCAATGCGAGGAAAATGATGTAGCAGATGCATTACTGAGATTAAATATTGATATCTTTTCAATTTCTGGCATAAACTACCAAGATGTGGTAAAACTTGAGAAGCGCTCATAGAACAAGGAAAAATTTTGCAATGTGAGAAAACGAAACTCTTATTCCATAACATTCCTGTAAACGACAAGGACACCTTGAAATGTAATATCTCAGGTAAGACTCGCTTCGTGATACCTTAATACATGAGACCAAACGTTTTCCAACAATCGTACAACATATCTCAATTAGGTATAAATCAACGGTATGGCTCATCACAAATAGGTTTGTATGGTCAAACATAGAAATTTTCGAAAATAGGGCACAATAATTCATCCAGTGTCAGAACTTAAGAGTCCACTGACACATCATGCCTCTTGTGAGAAATTTTCCCTTCGCTAGCGCCAGGATCGACCACATTCATCTTGACATCGTTCGACCATCACTAATATCCAGTGGTTGTATGCGCTGACTAACATTTATAGACGGATTCATGAGATGGCCCAAAACTGTGACGCTGGAAGACACGTCAGCATCAACATTGGCAACCAAATCACTGAAACGCTGGGTTGCAAACTTCGATGTCCCAACAAAAATTCGATCGACCGTGGAGCCTTGTTTGAAAGTAAAGTGATTTAGCAACTCACAAACATTTTCGGCATGAAGAAGATTGGAACCAAAGCTAATAATCCAGCGGCTAACGGGATGACAGAACGTTTCCACAGACAGCTAAATGTCCCACTGACAGGCACTGGATGTGATTTCAAATGCGATGTCAAGCTTTCTCTGGTACTATTAGACGGTCGCCCAACTATCAAACGAAACATCGGTTGTTGTGCAGCTGAGTTGTTTTATGAAGGGACGTTACGTTTGCCTGGTGAACTCCTTGACCGTGCAACAGATATTCCAGCAAACATAACAAACTACGTGCAACAATTAGAACAGAAGATGGAATCCGTCAGGTCTGTGTAACCCCAAACCTATAAAATGAGATCATTCGTATCACAGAAATGATAGAGCCCTTGCAGACTCCTTACGACTGTTCCTTTAATATCGTCAGAAAATATTATAAAAAGTCGCAGTAGAAAGACCCAGTAAACATAACACTGTTAGCACTGATATAGTAATCCAGTGAATCTAGAGTTCACTGAAAAACAGAAAACATCATAATCGTCTAAATCGGCGGCAGAGCAAGCATTAAACAAGCAATCTGCAACAAACACCACTTCACACCGACGTTCATCACTAACAGAAACTACAAAAAGATTAAGAAGAAGAGTTAATGAGTAGGTGGGCATGTAGCAATCATCATATTTACCTAGACCGCATTCTGAGATTTTTCTTAGAACACAAAAGCTCCTTCTCTGTACTATTATCTTTATTTTAACAACCAGAATAAACAATTTAAACCATTTGAGCTGTCCAAAGGGAGAATTACAACGCTTCATGATTAAAGCTGAGAGCGGTACCCCTTCTGACAACAACAGCAATAATTTTTATAGGTATTGTAAGGTATTGTAGGAGACCGGAAGAACTATTCAAATAACAACGCAAATGAGGAGATACGACTTGATAGTGCTCGGAATCAGAGAAACCCATTGGGTTCAAGCAAGATAGAACAGAATAGGTTCAAAAGAGATGGTGCCGTGCTCCGGTCAAAAAGATGATAAAACTCCGCATACTCAGAGATTTGCTCCGATGCCGTTCAGAGAAGCAGGTCATACACTTATAGGATGGAAATCTCATGGATCTAGGATCATCAAAGCATCTTTCAAAACAAAGAAGGTGAGAATCACAATTAAACATATATAATATTATGCACCCACCAGTGATGGCAACGACGACGATAAAGATCCATCTTACGAGATACTGCAGTTAATCGTAGAGAGGTTCCCGTGAAAGGACCTGACCATCCTGATAGGTCACCTAGACGCCACGGTCAGAATGTACAACACCGGCCATGGAGATGTCATGGGACGATATGGACTGGGAGCAAGAAGCAAGTATGGTGGGAGATTCGCAATTCCATGTGCATTCAACAAATTGTTTATAAGTTGCAAAATGTTACCACACAAACACACACACACAAAGCTACATTTGTCTTACTAGATTACACTACACAGAACCAGACCGATCATATCTGTATCACTATAGAATTCAGGACTATGAGAGACGTGAGAACCAGGAGAGGAGCTGACATAACTTCAGATCACCACCTGGTTGTGACTGAGATGAAACTGAAACTAAAGAAACACTGACAGAACAGCATTATAAAAGTTCAGTACAGACTTCCTTCGAGATACTGACAAACAACCAATTCAAGGTAGCCTTCAACAGTAGGTTCCATGCCTTACATGGTCTACTAAAAGAAGAAGAAATTACTATGGAGGGAAATCGGATAAGGATAAAAGAAGCTATAATTTCAACGTGTCAGGAGGTGCTGGGACTCCACAAGCATCATCAAAAGTAATGGGTCTCTACCGGAACCCTGGACAAGATTCAAGAAAGTAAGTACAAGAAGACAACAATTAACAACAGCCGAGCAACAGCAGAGAAATTCAAGGCACAAGCTGAGTACATTGAAGCAAACAAGCAAGTGAAGTGGAGCATTAAAGCGGACAAGCAGGAACTTGAGGAACAGATAGTAGCGACAGGAGAAAGCTTCAAGAGATGGAAATATGAAACAGCTTTATGATGCAACGAAGAAACTGACAGGGAAATATAGTAAACCAGAGAGACCACTCAATGACAAGAAAGGTGAGACAACCAATGAGATTCAGGTGCAGAATAACACATGAAGGGAACACTTCGAGGAACTCTTGAATAGGCCAACTCCATTGAATCTAGCAGACATGGGAGCAGCACCCACAGACCTTCCATTATATGTCACTCCAATAACGATGAAAGGAACCAGGATGGTCACCAGACAAATTGAAGTGCGGGAAAGCGGCAGAACCTGACATATTAACTGAAGAACAAGAGTCAGATATAGATGCAAATGCAAACATGTTTCACGTTCTACTGAAGATTTAGGAAAACGAACAAGTGCCAATAGACTGTAAAGAAAAATAATTCATCAAGAAATTAAAGAAAGTAGATTTGAGTAAGTGTGGAAAATACAGAGGATTCACACTACAGTCAGTACCAGGAAAAGATTTCTACAGGGTGTTGCTGGACCACATGAAGAACTCAGTGGCCGCCCATCTGAGGAGGAAATAAGGAAAAGACGATGGAAGTAGTTGTTGGGACATACATTACGGAAACCATCAAACTGCACCATGAGGCAATCCCTAACTTGAAATCCTGAAGGGAAACGGAAAAAAGGATGTTCAAAGAACACGCTACATCAAGAACTGAAAGGAGATACCAAAAGGATGAATAGTAACTGAGAAGGATTTCCCAGGACAGAGTTTGGTGAAGAATTCTAGTGGGCGACCTATGCCCAATCCAGGGGCAAGAGGTGTAAGTATTCTTTATTGGCTACACGGATTTTCATTATACCCACTTTTTAACTCCATGCGATCCATTGATGTTATG